AGAACTTTAATAAAATCTTGTGAACCAATTGACTTTAATGAATCTGATTTGGAGGGAAATGTTAACGCCTGTGTGGGTCATTTGTCATCCTCAGTCACGCAGATCAGCGTCAGCTTTCCTTGTTGCTTAGCCTGCATAGTGTGTGTGTGCCGTGCTTTCTTAAACATAAACTGAAAGATTTGACAGATTTATAATGTTTTGACTTTTAATGTAATTTTAATGTAAAGTGTCGCAAGAGCAGTTTAATTGACTTTAGACTCGGAGATTGTACCTGGCTCAGTCAGCTACAACAGGATTATCTGGTGTAACCCTCTCATAGCTGCACTATATCATAATCCAAATGTGAAGATTTGATGCTTTTACTTTTAATAATTAAAATGTATTTGTAATAATTTTGAGGTTTGGAGTGTTGGTTGGACAATTAATCATTAGTTGCAGTGCTACACAATATAGTTCAAAATGAGCTCAAACTAAACCAACTACAACAATAAAATCCTGCTTTTACATTAATGCACAAGTCATAATAATATAATATATAATAGTATAAAAGTCACTTTCAATACTTTAACTATATTAACCTTAATATACTTACTTACATAATATTTCATTTTACAGTGTTGTATTAGTAGTTTTACTTAAGTATAGGATCTCCACTGCATGTCAGACACAACAACCATCCTATAAATAACTATCTATAGCTATTCTTCTTATGATTATTTCCATGAAAGGATTCCTACCACGCATTGATGAGATGGGGAGGTCTTCCTTCTGCACCAACGCACCATAGCAATGGATAGTTTCATCACTTCCTCTTTTGTTTACATCCAAAAGGCAGAAAAATAAACGAGTGAGTGTCACTGCATTATGAGGACACATACATGTAACTCAGCTTGTGTATCTCAAGCTTGTATGTGTGTGTGTGTGTGTGTGTGTGTGTGTGAGGCGACCTAGAACAAGTGTGTGACCTGTCCTGTCAGATTATATCAAATCCAATCAGGACCATTGTAGCTGTAAGCTGTAAGGTGAAACTAATGATAAGGATGATTAATATTATTATTACTATCAAAATAATGAACACAATCAGCGCAGGGTTTTACTTCCAGTTTTGTCCAGCCAGACATGGAAAACGTCTGATTTGTTTTATGTTTTTACACGTGCAGAGCAGACGGCTGAGAGGAATGCAGCCACAGTGGTGCATGTGGTCCAGCACACTGGCCTGAATCGACCGAGTTTTATATGCACACATGGTGTTTAATAGCAGTTCTACCATCCCTGATTTTTATTATAGTCAACTCATACACAGATTCTAAGAAAAAAATATTTTATTGTCACTTATATAACACTTGCGAGTGCTGCAGAGAATAAATCATCATATGATCAGTCTCATCATATTGTTTAATGATCTTTTAAGTGCTTTCAATAAACTGGTTATAAAACAAAAATACTTTTTGCAAGAAGTTGCTTGCAATTGTCAGATAGATTTGTGAGTCCTGCGGGGCTTATGCACGGGTTGCAGGTGAAAACCGGCTCTGTGAATGGCAGTATGTGTTTTTTTCTCCATTTTTTAAATACTAATTGGCCTAATCTTTAGAGATTTATAAATACACACGTAGTAAGTGAGACAGTGTGTGGGTTTTTTTCCACTTTTAGATTGAAACTTAAAGGATCAGTGTGTAGTATTTAGTGGCATCTAGTGGTGAAGTTGTAGATTGCAACACCGCTTGTGTCTGTATTCGACGAAATGAATGACGGAATGAAAACGGGCTGTGAAGCGTGGAGGAAAAACTACAGTGAAACTCGCGAAAAATGCTAAAGTCCCATTCTGTAGAAACATGGGGCTTCAACATGGCCGCCTCTGCGGAGGGTGACCCAAGGCACATGTAGATAAAAACCTTAGATATAGAAACACAGATACCCCATTGGCTGCTGCTGTATGCCGCCACTATATGTCTGCGTGCTCGCCATACTGTGGAGGTCAAAATCCGCTAAGAAAATCGGCTGTAACTCGATTAAATCTGAATCAAATTTAATGATTTTCATTTTGCTATAAATGTGAGAAACTAAACGTGATACTGGTGACTTGTAGGAATTAATTCAGTCACTATGGGTCGGATCTAACCAGCTCTATGCCAAAACATTAGCCAAAAACACTTCCACTGGGGCATACAGGCTATCTACGTTTCTATATCTATGATAAAAACAGCTCATTCTAAGGTAACGAAAACACAACAATTCAGGTGATTATTCACTAATGAATACCTATGAAAATTATATTCCATTTCTGCCACCAGATCCTCCTAAATGTTACACACTGGACCTTTAAATGTTACAGAAATGACGCAGGATGAGAACTGCTCTAAATCTTTATGGTACTGGAAGCCTCGATGTGTCCGAATTGATAGCAAAGACTTCCAGACACTTAGATCCAAGCAATGTATCACTTTATTTAGCAAGCTCTCGATCTATCTGACCTCAAAAACAAACAAAATACAATAATTGACAGGCAGGTAAAAATAACCAGTCCTAGTCATTGGCAGTACGCAAAACATCTGCGTGTGTACTAAAGAGATTTTTTTTAACAAAATACAAAGAAATACAGAAAAAGGAAACAAAGAGAGAAAGGAAAAACATAAAAACAGGAAGCATCTTAGAGTAGTATTTCATCACATAGTAAATGGGGCTCTGACAGGGATCAGGCTGGAGCCATCATAAATTAGGAGTATTAAAGTATTTAAACACCCAGCTGGTACACGATTGAGGAAACAGCCATGTGGTTGACTGGCACAATAATGTGCCTTCTCCCTGTCAAATAAATCACTATAATTCTTTTCTTTTTTCTTTCTCCTGTTATCATTTAATTTTTTTTATCTTCAAGTTCATTATTTCTGATCAAATTCACTTAAAAATAAACACATCTTGGAGTCAGGAACCAACATTTTTCAGCTAATAACAGAAAGTTGGACCCCTCACAGACCCTCGGTTTGTACTGCATGTTTTCCTCCATACCATAACACACAGTGCAGGGCTCATCTAAAAGCTAGAGGGCAGCATGATACAGAAACACCAACCAGCCTCTCCAGTCAGTCTGCTGTGAGGAAGACTGTCATGTGTGTGGAGTTATCTGGAACAATAACTAACAGAAGTTTCTAGTTGAATCCAGTCCCACTATTTCAGCGTAAGGGTGATAAAAAGTTATAAGGCGTTGCATAATGTGGCAGAACAAACTGCACATTTCTACAGGGTAAACGTCACTGTTCTGGCCTTTTCATGGGTTTAAGTTGATTATCTGATTCAGCATGTTGCTCTTTTTCCTCTGTCCTTTGGGGTTTACTCAGCTCAGCCATGATTCAAACATCATTTTCTCTAAATGTCAAAAACAAAAGTGAGATTAATACAAGTAAAGGGATCAAAATGTGTATTTTCTCTACGCATCAACGTGAGAACACATAGTGTACATTGTGTGTTTTATGTTCCTAGAGGTGAGGTTTGGATAATAAAGTTGTAACTAAGCATCCCGTTTTGTACCACTCTCTCTCTCTCTCTCTCTCTCTCTTTCTCTGAACCTTGCACTCTACCAACATTATGTCAAAACCAAGACAAATCAGTCCAGATGTGGAGTCCTGACCTGCCAGATGAACCCTCTGACTCCATCACTGCTGCAGTAAATACATGCTGCTTTAAAACATTAATGTTGTATTTTTTAAGCAGAGTTGTTTTAAAAGTTTTTAAATATGTGTGACAAAATGTTTAACAGCACAAATGAAATAAGATATTTTTGAGAAAACTCAATAGTTTGCTCAGTCGCATGACCTCAGTACTAAAATCAACTGCTGATGAAGGTCTTGGGAGGACTGTTGCAGTAGTTGTATAAATCATTTAGTGTGTGAAATCTGATAAGTTGCCTTGAGTGATGTCACTTGATTCAGGGTCAGCTGGGGCTGAAAACTACAAGTTTGAAACAGACAAAAATCTGAGGGTGTGGTCTAAAAAAGGCGAGCGCTTACAGGACCTCGTGGCTACATTGCTTCAAATCATGATTAACATTAATTAAGAAATCATGTAAAAGACTCACAACCGAAATATAAGCCGTCACCAGGAGGATTGTCACTTCTAGAATTCATTCAACGTGGTTAATTT